CAGAGTGAGCCAGACCGTGAGGTGCCCCCAGGCACGTACGGCCAGCTGATGGATGACAGAGGATTACCCAAAGTCAGCGCAGAGTCCTCCCATACAAACTTCCATACAAAAGCACAATTGATTAATAAATATATGCATTGATAAACCCACCTTCAAAAGTGGAAACTTTTGCTCTGTGAAAGACACAAGCGAGCAAATGAGCAGAAGACCCTGGACAGACTGGAAGAAGGTGTTTGCAAAGCAGGGACTACACGGGACTCACGTCTGCGTACGTGAGGGTACAAGTTGAATACATAAAGCACTTCCGAGCCCAACAGCAAAGAAGAGCCTAGTAAGAAACACGGACAAAAGACCTCAGCAGGCACCTCATCAAGGAGACGTGCCGATGGCAAGTAAGTGCATGAAAAGATGCTCCGTGCCATCAGTCATGAGGAAATGAGGAAGAAACCCAGCGGAAGGGCCAGCAAGTACCCATCAGAATGGCTCAAATTTTCGAAAGCTGACAGTATCGAGTGCTGGCAATCTTAGGGCCAAGAACCACAGCTGGTTGGAACGCAAGACGGTGTAGCTGGGCACTTTGTTACCGAGTCAAACATGTGCTTACCATACGACCCAGATACTTTCTCAAGTTAAATAAAAATCTACATTCACACAGAAATCTGTAAGACAAATACATGCCTACAGCGGCTTTGTCATTGCCAAAAACCGGAAGTGATCCAGATATCCCTCAACTGGCCAAAGGATGAGCAGATTGTGATCCATGGACTCAGCAAAACAACGCTCTTGACCCGCACAAAACCAGCACGAGTCTCGGGTGCCCTTGGAAGTGAGAGAAGCTGGACTCAAAGGCTACATGCTGTAGGCCTCCACTGGTGGCACATTCTGGGAAATGCTGAGCTGCAGACACTTCAGCAGTCGCCAGGGGCTACGGGGGCGGGATGGTCTGGCCAGCAAGGGCAGGAGGGAGGGGACGGCGGCTCAACAGATCTGGGTCTCGGTGACGGTAGACAACTGGACACCTCTATCAGAACCCACGCAGTTGCACACCACAGAGCACACGTTTAGGGTATTAAAATTCAAAGACGAACTTTAATGGGAGAGGGGAGTGGTCCCGGTTCTCTCTTCCCAGATGTGTCCGCTCGTTCCAAAATTGACACACAACGTAACTTTCATCTTTACTAAAGACCAAAGCCATAGCCTGGACCCTCATGTGACCCCCACAGAGCCAGTGTCCAGGGAAGGTGCCAGGCCACCAGGAGGGAAGGAGCACCCAGCTCAGGAGGGTGGTGTCCATATCCACAAAATAGCACAAGAACAACTGTAGAGAAGCTGATGTTGATGCGGATTTGGGAAAACAGCACTGCTCACGCATGTTAGGAGAACCATAAACTCATTCCGTCTTTGGGAGTAAAGTGGCAATACGGCTCTAGAGCCATGAAAACAAGCCACACTCTGACCCCAGCGCGCACACCCTGATTGCAGGCATGCTCTTCCTTCTTCAAATCATTTCCTTGGCATAAAGGTGTTTTCTGAAGAAAACAAAAAAACTGAAAACCATCAAACACAAAACAATACAAATAGAGTAAAAACTGTGACATCACATGGTTTTATGGCCACACACACCATAAAAATGCTACTGAGGAGAACACAGAATAGGGTGTGCTGGATGCCACCAAAACAGACACTTTAAAATGGCCAAAATGGTAAATTTTACGCTGTATAGATTTTATACAAAAGATACTAGGAAGGAAAATCAAACTAAAAATGCACGTATGCCACCACCACCCACATCCGCACGTGTGTGCATGCTGAAGAAGGTCCCAGAGAAACGTAGCTGGGTACACGGATGAAGGGGGATGGGCACTTTCCTTACAGCCTCTAAAGGGCATCCCTGCAAGGACCAACGATTCTACTGCTCCACGAGCTTCGGCAAGATCCCACCATGGAGAAGCTTCAGGCTATGCTTGGCCAGCGGATAAGGACTATTCTCCCTCTCACGACTGGACCTGAGAACAACGACCTTCTTAAACTGCACTCACCGAGGCCTGAGGGCTGGCAGCTGGGCTTGGCCTGCCCGGACAGCAACCCGAGAGCTGGGCCATCCTCACTGGTCTGTGCCGGCCTAGCGACACCCTTCTGGGGCTTTATCGGGGGCCCCACACACATGCTTCCTGCTTGTCACACATGATGAGAAGTCTCCCTCCCCAGGCTTCCTGTCCACTCGGGCCGGCCTCATGGGGGGGCGGGGGTGCTGCCTGGGACCCTGCCCTCCCCTGGACCACAGGCTCCTGGGGCCCAAGACCCGGGGCTCCGCCACACCCTGAGCCAAAGAGCCCCCCTGCTCCCCTATCACAAACACTCTGCGGCAGCTAGCGGGGCAAGCCAGCATGATGGCAGAGGGGACGCCCGTGGCTTTCAGGGACTTTATATTCTGGGGGGCTCAGATCTGTCTGTTACAGGGATAATCCGTAGTCTTGCTGCTGGGCGCATGCTTCTCTCGGTGCCCGCCATCCACTTCAGAGCACTCCTGCGCGGACAGATACTCCGCAGCTGGCGAGGCCTCTCACAAGAACAGAGCTATACCCTACGGCCAAGGCTTTTTTTTTTTTAAGATTTTATGTATTTATTTGAGAGAGAGAGAGGAGAGAGCACGAGTGGGGAGCGGCAGGCAGAGGGAGAAGCAGGCTCCCCATGGAGCAGGGAGCCCGACGTGGGACTCAATTCCAGGACCCTGGGATCATGACCTGAGCCGAAGGCAGACGCTTTACTGACTGAGCCACCCAGGCGCCCCCACAGCCAAGTCTTGTAACCTGCTTTCCTACTCACCACTGGATTGCCGTCGTGGGTAGGCCTACCTAAAGCCGCCCTACCCGCCCCTGAGAAAGTGGCTATTTGCGGTTGAATTGTGTCCCCTGAAAGTTCAAGTGTTGGGTTCCCAACCTCAGGACCTCAGACTCTGAGCTTATTGGTGATGAGTCTTTGCCGATGTAATCAAGTTATAATGAGGTCATTGTGGGGGGGCCTTAACGCAATGTGACGCAGCCTCCCGTTAAGGAAGGAGGCCACGTGAGGATGCAGGCAGAGGTCAGCACCAAGGTCCTACAAGCCGGGGAACAGCAAAGGCTGATGGCAAACCATCAAACGCTTGAGTGTGGACTGCAGCCTGTAGGGCCCCCTCCCTGCCCATCTGCTCCTACTGTCCCCATTCACTCAGGGGTCCAGACGAAGCCCCAGGAGTCACGCTTGCTGCTTCTTTCCTCACTCCACCAGCAAGCCCTGAACACCCTACCAAAAGGAATGGTCCAAGCTGGCCATGTTGCTCCCCCTCCGTTAACCCTAGATGCTTGACTAACTGCAGCCATTGCCACAGGTCCCCTGGGGGCAAAATGTCCCTGGTTGAGAACCTCTACTTGGGCCTCACTCTGCTGCCTCAGCCGTCAAGTGGGTTCCCCGACTCCAGCCACCCCCATCAGGCCCACCCGAGACACGTCACCTGGAGGGCATCACTTGTGAGCAAACCACGGGAAGTAACTGGGGCCCTGACAGAGTGAGGGTTTGACACAGGGGAGGATGGACTGTCCCCTGCCTGATTCTCCCAACACGCAGGAAACAGCACATCCCACAAGTCCCCTGTGGAATGCCTCTCCTCAATCATGGCCTCAAACGCAACCAAAGGAAGACGGATGAAGGCTACATGACCATCTTCATCTATCCTCTGAACAAAAGCAGCTTTCCAAATTAAAACAGCCAAAGCTGGCTAGTGTGGGCAAACCAACAACCAAACCCCGCGGTGGGAGTGTACAAGGACGCGAACAAGATCACTTCCACCCGGTATTGCCATTGGGAGTTTCAGTAATCCCGTGTCTGAAGACAAACAATGCCACACACAGGAAAAGAGTCTACATGGGAACGTGTTAGCGTGGCATTATTTTTAACATTAAACAAAGCTGGAAACAACTCAACTATCCAATTGCAAAGGAAACGTTGAGAAAGTATCAGCATGTCTACTCAACCCAGCACTGCGCACCCACCTGAGTGAGATCTGTGAAGAACGCGGAGCAAATGAAAAATGCACGGAGGGGACCACATATGACTGTGACCCCTTCTATCTCTGAACTTTCCAAACTTTCTTTAAAAGCCATGCACTCATACTTGATAATGTTTTTTTAATGGATTGTTTGAAAGGAAAGAAATTCACCCCTTTGGGTTGGAGCTCTGTGTCCACAGGAGGCCCCCACTGAAAGTGAAACACTGATGGGCGGGGACTCAGAGGGACTCAGATCTGAGCCTGACCTGGGGTTCCATTCACCCTTGAGACCAGGACAGGAACAGTGAAGTTGTGAGCAAGGGGCCCAGAAGAGGAGTCTTAGGTGCCGCCCAGAGAGTGTTCAGGGTCGGGAGCCAGAGGGAGGAAGGAAGGAGCCCACCACGGAGGGACAGGTTGCCAAGGGGCTCAGGGACCCCTCCTGCTCTAGCCTGTCCTCCCACCGATGAACCAGGAAGGGGTGAGGGACATCATTCACAGAGGAATGAGTTGGGGGGGGGTCCCCTCAGAAGAGACGTGTGGATGGACGTGTGCTTTCCCACACTGCACGAGTCTGAGGGGCGTTCTTCTCTGCCTATGCCCACCTCCTCCCAGAGGCACAGATTACTGCGGAATCTGGTCTGAAACGCCCCACGTCACATGCCTATCTCAGCTATGTTCTTCCATCCCAAATGCCAGTGGCACCTGTAACTACACCCGGTCGCCATCTCTGTCCCCTGAGTTGAAAACTGTCAGTGGGCCCCAGAAGCTATCTTCACAGTCAGCTCTTCCCCAAGCTCTGCAAGTGGTAGAGCCTGTACCAGCGGGGGTCTGTGGCTGGGACTAGGAGCCCTGGAACGGGTGAGGCAAGGTCAGGCCCCACAGAGGACTGCTCTCCCCACACTTCCTGCAAGAGCCAGCACGACACAGGGAACAGGTGCGCCCCAGGGGAAAGCAGGGGGTGGTCGTCACTGACCTTCTCCAGCTTCTCGAAGTGCTCCCGCAGGAACTTCATGGGCCTGTCGGGCTTGGAGATGCACAGGTGCACGATGCAGTCCTTGAGGACCTGCTGAACGCCATGCTTCTGAACGTAGAGCTCACACCCCTTCAGACTCTCATCCTCCTCCGCCTGGTAGGACGACGGGGACGCCATGGTGACCCCACTTCTGGCTGCCTGGTAGGGGAAATGCACATCATGGGTTGCTGGGGACAGAAGCCTGGGGCGGCACCCCACAGGGCCCCAGAATGTGTCATTGTAGTCCCATCCAGTGACTGATGGGACACGGTCTCAGGGTCCATGCTCACAGGGCTTTCCTTCTGAAGGGCTGGATGAGCCGTTAACATGACAGCCACGAAGCCTTACCTTACAGATCTTTGCGGGCATGGAGGAGACTCAAACAGACTTGTACATGGCTGAAGCAAACCCTCCTCTCTGAGAAATCTGAAGGTGGGGAGTGGGGGCCCCGGGGGCCTGAGTGGCCAGCCCAGCACTTACGTGGTCTCACTTGCCACCATCCCTCCTCCCTTTCTAGGGACAATTGTGTGAACCAGGGATATGGAGAGGTGCTGTTACAGGGTTGGGGTAGCCTGCTTGGCAGGAACAGAAAGGAAACAAGGCAAACAGTTGAATCCCAGCCGAGGGGCCTTCTGGAAGGATGTTACATGGAGAACAATGGCAGGGCCGCACATTCTCAGCCCGGCGTTCTCAGCCCAGCGCTCCGGGCTAAGTCACAATGACGGCTCAGGAACTGGGAGCCACGCAGCCGCTCCGCTGCTGGGACCCAGACCCGGGTTCTCGGCCGCCAGGAAGGCCCCAAGGCCGCGCCCCCTCCCCAGGCCCCGTGCCCGCGGTCCCTGCACCGCCTCCCCAGGGCCCGCGCCCCTAGCCCTTGCGCCCCCAGGCCCCTCTTCCGGCCCCGCGCCCCCAGCCCCCGCGCCCCTTCCCCGGGCCCCTCGTCCTTGGCCCCTGCATCCCTTCCCCAGGCCCCGGCGCCTCCGGACCCTGAGCCCCCGGCCTCTGCGCCTCTCCACGACTGCGCCGCGGGCACAGGTTCGGCCAAGGGGGCGGGAGCTCCCCAAGGGCCCACATTTCCCGGGGCCTCCGGGCCGGCCGAGCTCAGCCCCTCACCCGCGCAGGCCAGGGATCCCGACGCAGACCCCATCCCAGCCCGGCGTACCTGGATGCGCCGCGCCCGAAGCCCGAGGCGGCTGCGCGGGGACGCGGCGGGGACGGCCGGCGAGCGGGTCCCGCACTGCAGCGGCGCCGCCCTCCGCCCGCCCCCGCGCCGCGC